CCTTCCCGTTGGAGCCTCAGAGGTTAGGCAAGGGGAATCGTGACTCCGACCGATGTGCATTACGTTGCAGTTTTCTCCGAAGACTATGTCCGATTTTGGTAGATGGGTTGCTGAGAGTAGGCGGAAGATTAACAAACTGTGAGTTGGACTTTGATGCTAAACATCCCATCATCTTGCCCAACAATCACCACATCACGCACACACTCATCATACATATTCACATGCAGGAAGGTCATGCCGGGGAAAATCATCTACTCAATACGATTCGCCGTCGGATTGGGATAGTGAAAGGGAGAGCTACGGTGAAGCGTATCGTGGGCAACTGCCTCTTTTGTCGTTGTCAGAATGCAAAATTCAGTAAACAACTGATGGCCTCGTTACCAAGTTTCCGAGTACGACCAGGTTGGTGGCTCTTCGCCAAAACTGAGGTGGACTACTACGGGTCACTATGGGTGAAACGAAAGACGTCGATGGAGAAACGGAACGGATGCTTGATGACATGCCTGCAGTCGCGAGCTTTGCATATTGAGACCGTGCACAGCATTTTGACCGACTCCTTTCTTATGGCCTGGCAGCGATTTGTAGGTCGACGAGGTAATCCATGGAATGTGTTCTGCGACAACGGGTCCAATTTCGTCGGTGCACAAAAGGAGTTGAGCGACTGGTTGATGCGGTTAAACAAATGCGCTCTGCAAGACCAACTGTTGCCATCTGAAACCCAATGGCACTTCAACCCATCCTACATCAGTCACCGCGGAGGAGTTTGGGAACGGCTTATACGGTCGGTGCGAGAAATATTGAAAGCATTATGTGAACAACAGGCGCCGGATGATGAAACTTTGAATAAATTTCCGGTAGAGGCCGAAAGGATACTTAACCGCTTGTACCCGTCAGCAGCGATGACTTGCAAGGACTGGCATCAACTCCGAGTGATCTTCTGCTATTGAGGTCCAATGAAGGTCTACATTTGCCAAAAACTAATAGTGGTTGCTATACCTCGGGTTGGAAACATGCGAACTACCTGGCACGGGTTTTTTGGAATCGTTGGACAAGAGAGTACCTGCCAACCCTTCAAGCTCGATAGAAGTGGTTGCATAGAGAACGGTCGTTGACGGTTGGAGATGTTATTCTTATGGCCGACGAAAGGCTACAACGCGACAACTGGCCACTGGGTGTAGTCNTCTGCCGGTGAACAGGTGCGCGATATTCGACGTGTGTGTTTATTGACCGGAAATGACCACCATGCAGTTACTTGATGGAGTTGCGGAGACAGGCCGTGTATTATACTGAATTACCTACCCATCGTACCAATTGCGCCCCAGTGATATTCACCCCACCTGTATGAACACGTGCATCCACGTACTTGTCATACGTTTTCTCTATTTCTTTTCGTGACTGAGTGTCTTTTTATCAGATAGATACACAATTTATGACATTAACCTCTAAGCTATCAATCAAATTTTGCCTTTTTTGTTTCAGATTCGGTCTTCTTGGGCTTGCCGAAGGCTGGGAATCTACACCTACAATGGACAATCTGGCTCCGGCAATAGTTGTTGGGCACGGTTGTATCCACCGCTCCGACGACATGCGTCCGCATTTATGACCAGGTTGAGGATCACACCCTCTGGCTCACCTACAAGGTGTTTTAAGTTTCGATGTCTAGCGTGCATTCAGTCCTACATCACAGCGATCATGCGCAATAGCATGCCTCACAGGCTTCGTAAAATATACCATTATTATTATCATTATTTTTATTGTTCAACGTTCTTGCGGTGATTTGGCGCCAAGTTCAATGTTTTGAGTGCTCGCTCTGACAATTCGTTTTTTGAATCTAAAAGTGTACTTATCGAAATATCCCTTCGCTTTAATGCTACTATTCCCTTTTTCTGACACATTTGGTATCGGGTCTCTGGTCGCGGCCCTGACTTTCTCGATTGGTCAAACCTTCGTGCGTAAAACTGTTACGCATTCGACTGTATCCCTCTACTATATCCCCCACTTAGTGATTTTTTGTATTTTTTATACATAACCGCTATATCACAACATTCTCTCAAAAAAGATGCCATCACAACATCCATACATTCCCAAACCCACTATCACATGCATGCGGAATATGATTTCGTTTTTAAAACTTAAACAATAACTAAATCAACCACATTTCTCCCTCTTCTTTTTCTGGAATGATACTCATTTAACCCACTGCTATAAAGTTATCGTGCGACTGGCTGCAAGCGTGATGATGCACAAAGCCGATCTCGACCAAGAGACGTGCAAGTCGTCGAAGGTCAAGATCAACAACTGCGGCGAAGGTTGAACCGCTCGTACGTAGAAGCACTGACAGCAGGGACCAGGTAGGTAGACAGTTAGACAAAAACAATTACCTGCACCGACCATTTGACTCAGACGAGCGCAGGCAGGATTTTGGCGGCCGGTGTATTTCATGTTGAATTATGGAAAATCCTCCTACACCCATGGTGATTTATGGTGACACAACTCTGTGGGTTGCTTCTCTATTGACATATCTCAATCACAAACACCATTCATTATTCTTTATCTGTTCATGCAATGCCCGACACATCCAAACTTTCCGTGATCAGAGAACGTGAGCGACTGTTTGGCTCCATCTGGACATCATATTTGGCACGCTTGCTTGCGTGCGTTTGGCCGCATATTTGTGGTTTGCTTCATTGTACATTTTGTCATGATTTCGCTATTTCAGTACCGTAAAACATTACGGATCAATCCTGTTTCATTTCGCGATTTGTGTCGGTTTCGGCTACGCGTCACTCAAATGCGAATTAGTTGACGTACAGAACTCAAACTGGAATCAAACAGGAAAACTCTTTCGAAGATGCCCAGACTAGTAACCAAGAAAACTGGAACCCCACAGGAAGTAACCCAGCAAGTCACTTGGGGGCTGGAGGTCACTTTGATTCTTTAGAAAATTCGTTAGAACAGAGAGAAGGCAAGTACTGAAGACAAAAATACTTAGGACAAATAATCTGTGTTCTGACGAATTGGATAAAGGGGACCCAATGTTTCAAGTTTTTAGAAAATGTTAGATCTTTTAATCCTGTCAGTGCTGTTTCATGTGTAAATTCAGATATTAAGGATACTGATATTTGTAGATTGCGGGTTTCCGAACTAGAGCATGAGTTGAGACTAGCTAGACAGCAGATAGAACAGGCCAAACGTGAAAAAACGATCTCAACGGCACAACATCACCTGGAGATGAGACTGCACGCAATTGCTTATCTCCGAATAAAGAATTCGTCGCCCCTCTTTTTCTTCCTTCCTCCTTCCTCTATTCCTTGCCTCAACGTCTCCCAGATGGCCTCAGACGGTGTCCCTGTCGGCTTCTCCTTTTTTCTGTGAGGTAGCTGCTCTCAGCTTCCCGTAGCTGGTGACCGCTCACTGTTGGCGTTTCCATGCGCCGCATTCTGGGAGAACTACTCTGGCCGATCTTTTGCGTCTTGTGTCCTTGACCGAAGAGAGCCTAAAAGTAAGCTAGCGCACTCTTCAGTAAACATTACACAGCGTGTGCACGTTCACTTTGGGCTTTCGTGCTTCGTGTGCTGTTGGTACTCCTGCTTTGTTAAGTTTGAACACGGCTGACGATACCAATCCCGGCACCTATCCCATTGGTAACCAGAAATCACAACTCTCTGACAAACCTTATTACCGCATGTGTTACGGTTATATTGTCCAGCCATTTTACAAGTGATTCCTTCTCGAATGGGAAAGAGTGTGCAATACAAAATTCCAAGCTTATTGGTGAACAACTACGAAGGAGATAAAATCACACTTATGGGCCACACAAAAACGGACAAAACACAATGGTAAAAGCAAACCTTTCGTAGAGTTAAATTCTCCGAATACAAAAAGTAAGAACCTTAGTAAATACTAAGATCCAGTTTATAGTAGACAACCCCAGGCATGCGAAAATAGATTAAGATGGGAAAAGAAAATTAAGTAACAAAAGTAAGCTAGTACGGGGAGGAGGTTTTGGGGAGCTGGAGATAAAATGAAGGTAGTTGAAGTAAGACGGGATGATATACTTTATAGTAAAGATGGAAGGAGAGTAGTGTTGGGGAAAGCTAAAGGCATAGCTACCACGAAAGACTGTTGCTTCCTTCCTTAGGCTGATTCGAGGAAGGTTACGTCCCACACCTCATCAAGCCTTCTTTTGAACAGCTCCAGTGTGGACGCGAGACAACCTCGTCAGGATGTCTATCCCAGGCGTTGACCACTCTATGAGAGAAGTTGTTTGCCCTTTCTCTCTTTCATGCACGGATGTTTACCAGCTTTGGCTGGTGCTGGGTTTTCACTGAGGGAGAAGAGTTGCCTGCTAGACTGCGAGAGTTTCTTCAGTATCTTCAAAACCTCTATAAGGTTGCCTCTCATTCGTATATGGGATAGAGAGAACAAGTTTAGCTCTCTCAGGCGCCTCGGGTACGACATCATTCACAGGACAGAAAAAGCCTAATGAATCGTTTCTGGACGTGCTCTAGAGCATTTGGTCGTGTACAAGGTTCGGCGCCCATGCTTGTACGCATTATTTAGGCATGGACGCACCAAGGCCTTGTAGAGGGGCAGTAAGACTGTAGTGTCCCTCGATGCTATTGTTCCTCTCAGCAAGAACAGCGCCTTAGAAGCCTTTGCGGAGGCTAGCTGCCACTATCTTGTGGGCTGGAAGGAATCATGCATGACGATACCTAGGTCCCTAACCTCGTCAATGATTTTCACCGATGTGGGTCCCGTGCCATTTATCAACCTCGCCTCTTCGATAGATCCCACTAAGAGAAGCTGTTTCCACTTGCTAGCATTCAGTGGCAACAGCTACTCCTCCGTCCACCTCTGGACTTCGTCTAGGTCATCCTGAATGGCGTTGAGGGAGGGGTCACCTATAATTTGTACGTCATCGGCAAACAGAAAGGCGGGTTGTACTATCCTCGTGGTCAGGTCATCTACGTAAATGATGAATAGTAGAGGTCCCAGCACAGACCTTTGGGACACACCACCACAGGCTGCCCCCCTAGTAGACAGTTCACCCTCTACATTAGTATAGAAGGACCGGCCAAGTAGGTACCCCGTAATCCATCTGACAACCTGTTCAGACAGACGGAACGTCTTAAGTTTTTCGATCAACAGTCGGTGGTTAACTGAGTTGAATGCCTTTTGGAAGTCCAAGTAATAGACTTCCACACGCTCTTCCGATCGAGCGTTTGGGTGATCTCGTCTATGAAGTCCAGCAAGTTTGACAGGCAGGCCTTCTTCTGCACAAAACCGTGCTGGTTAGGAGATATTAAATCCTGGCTTAAAGCGTGCTCTGCTACGCGATCGTGAGGATTCTCTCCATAATCTTCAGTGGAATAGGCAGCAGATTGACCGGCCCATAATTTTCGACCGAATCCCTGGGCCCTCCCTTGTGTATAGGCACCACCTCTGCTATTTTTTTGTCTGATGGAAGTTGGCCGTGACATAGGGATAGGTTAAACAGGCGGGTCTGTGGATTGGCAGGGACTGTTCCTAGGGGTTTCAGTATGGCTGGGTGGATACCTTCTGATCCTGCCGATTTGCCTGTATTTGGGGGCCTCAGATGGTCCTCAATCTTCTGGGGGAGAATTTCTCAATCTGGCATATGTGGGATGCGCCTCGGAGTTTGTTGACCCCCGGGTGCCCCGATGTCCCTAACGTGATGTGCTTCAAAGAAGCGTCTGAAGATTTCCGCTTTCCCAGAGCTGGTTAGGACTGGGTGGTTGCTCTCACCCTCAAGAGCACTCATCGCCGTATGTAGCTTGGAGTTAGCTTGTACGTAGTTGAAGAATGCCTTGGGGCATTCTTCAATCCTCCGCGCCAGTCCCGTTTCGTAGGCCCAACGGTAAGCCGTATGGGC